TAACAAATGCCAACTCAGAGGGCGTGGCCGTTTGAAAGACATAATGGGATGGGACCGTGAGCCTAGCGCAACATCAATCCAACGACGCCATTGATGGATCAGGAACAGAGAGTCTGGAGTCGCTCTCTAGCTCTGGAGTTTGCACCCTCGGGTCAGGGTATGTTGTCGTTGCGGACCGATGAAATGGACAAATCGTTGTCAGGAACTCCAATGCTGGAATGCGAAGAGAGTGTCTTGAGGAATAAACACATTCCAATCCAATCCAGCTCAAGGAGCTTACGGCAGGGATCTCAATATCTCATTCTACCGGAACGTGGATTTGTGACTCGTTTCCGAATCTTGCAGCGTGAATTAATTGATCATCATTGCAGACCCTCCAGAACGAACAAGGTAGGGACAGCCCCACAGCTGCCATGTGTGGTACAGAGCCTCTTTGTCCCTGTGCTTAGTAAGTTCTTCGATATTTTGACCTTGGAAGGAGTAAGAAAAGGCAACGCGCGTTTTGGTATTCGGCCAAGTGGCGCCTTGTGGCTTTAAGGTTTATGGGCTTTTGGCCCTGCCTTTACTGGAAGTATCGGGCGTTCATGCAGTGTATTTGCTGTCTTCGCTACCTGGCTGCTTTCCCTTGCATGCTATTTTGCTTTGTACAACATACTCATAATACTACTGCTAGTAATAGTAGTAATGATAATAATAAGAATAAAAATAATACTACGTCCTACTACGCTGCTGCTGCAGCTACAGCTGCCGCTGCCGTCGCTGCTGCTAGGTACAGTTACCACTTCCATTGCTGCTGCTATGGCTACTGCTACTGTCACCACCGCCATCGCTACCCGCTTCGGCCATCCTCGCCGCCACCACCATCCGCTTATAACCAGTTCTAGGCCTCGGGCCAGGACCTGATTTTGCACTGGGAGCATGCCTGAATCGTGCAAAAACCGAGACGCATGCTGTAAACGCAGGCTACGTTGCTTTTTCGCAGTTCAAGTGGACACGCCATTCTGCTGCTGTGACGTTCCGCCTCTTACCCTTGACGAAGAGCTCCCGAAGTTCCAACTGTTCGAAAACCTTCGCAGAATTCACAGAAAGTGGCGGAAATGTGTTGTGGGATGTTATGGTCTTGGGAACACTGGTGGCTACATTTTGGAGGTTGAGAAGCTATAGGCCCTCAATCCACAAAGTAATGCGTGCACACAAAGGTCCAAACGCTCAAACCTACAATCCCCAACCCATGCAAATTCTACCGAGGTACGGCAACCCAAGTTGTGAGCAGGTAGTATCCTGAACTCTCTTACAATCACCATTATGGATAACACTGGCGCTTCGTAGCATATTATCTAATGTTGATGACCTGAGAAAAAATGAAACTCTACCTAGGGAACCCAGGCCCGAAACAAAAGCAGGCAGAAGCTTCAAATCCCGGGTTTCGGCATGAAATCCAGGGTATGGTAACCCATGAGTAACCCACTACTGTACCGGGCTACGGGTACATCATGGGTTTGTCACGGGTCAATCGCGGGGTGGGGGTGGGCAGGGGTTGGTCACGGGAAAACCCAGTGTTTTCAGAGCAAAATCCTTGGATTGCACGTCGAAACCTGGGTTTCGGGCAGTTGCAGCTCCAAACTTGGGGTTTTCACGTAGGCGCGACAGTTGTCCAGGGTTTGGTTTCTGTAAGTAGTGGTTCTGACAGGCAGGGTTTTGGTTTTTGGGGTTGTGTTCCTGCAAGCTCTCCTCATGAATCCCTTAGGTAAGAGAGAATGCAGAAATCCTGAAGTCCAATGCTGAGAGCGCTTGGTGGCCTTGAGCAAGTTGAAAGAAAGTCACCCTCATTGAGAATGTAAGACATGCGTGCTACATACTAGTGTCACAGTGGCTTCTGACCAACTTTAGCATAGCCTGATAGAAAATAATGGCAAGGCATTTCTGTATATCTTTGGACGACGTGCAATCTACAAGTAGGTTGTATCAGCATGGTACGGGCATGTTTTTTTTCACTTTGCAGGTGCGGCTTTGGATGGTGCTGTGGATGCCCTGACCATGACTCCGGGATCCCATAGCAACGGCAGGCAGAACTTCAGCTTGGCTTTCAGACGTTGTGTTTCAATTCAAGTCATTCCTGCTACTGTGGCACAACCACCTCAGGGGCCAAGCACACAGGATACGCAGGCAAGAGACGCTAGCTTGTGTTTGGCAGCGGCCATACTTGGCAATTGGCGGCAGTAGTAGCAGCAGCAAACTCTGTTCCAAAAGCTGTCCAACAAAACAGAACGAGTCACGGTGAGTGCCGTGAGAGTGCAATTTTCCTAAAAGGGGGTAAGAGGAGCGCCAGTGCTGTAAACTCCTTGCAGTGGAGCAAGCCATGAACCACATGCCAGGGAGCCAGACTGGTGTGCGGCAAGACAAGCAGTATGTAAATGCAGTTGACTTGTACCTGTACTGGTGCTTCACTATCTGCTTTCATGACTTTCATGCTTCAGGGATGGACTTCGGCCTGCGACTTTTCCCGAGTTGGCCCTCTCAGGTGCGCGTGCCCTTTAGGCAAAACCATCATTTATTTGTGTTGCCATATCCGCAGTGAGATTGGACATGCGCAGAGCTTCTGGCACGTCCTCCTTGCCAGCTGATGCCAGCATGCCAGCATAGATTTGAGCTCGGAGGCGGGCAGTCGCCCAGCGACCTGGCTGAGCTACGGGCTCGAGCAGAGGCAGCACGAGCCACCATCAGCGGAGGCGGTGTGCCAACAAATGAACAAAAGTGAAAGTACTGTGAATAGTAAATATAATGGCGAACCGCTTCGTTCGATGTGAGTATCGCTATTCGGGGTTTTGCCGAATCTCAGCTGGGTCTTCTGGGCTGTAGCGAATTCTTCGGCGGGTGATGGGGAGACGCAAATCTTTTCTGGGAGCCTAGGCATCGGCTCCAAAGGTCCTAGAGGTCGACTCTCATACACAATGCCCATTTGAAATATTTTGAGATTCAACTCTTGCCACCAACATCGACAGCCTTGCGTCCCAAGTAATCAGGCTTCAGCAGAAAATCCGGCAAGCTTTGCATTGTTTGACCCTACACCAATCAAGACTCCATGTTGGATTTCTTATTGTGTAGTGCAGTTGAAGCATCAAGACATAAGCAGCCTTGCTAGTAGCAGCAACTACCCAAGACGTGACTGAGAGTGCACTTGTCGCATGTGTTTAGCAAACCTCAGCGGAGGAGAGTGCTGTCAAAATTGTATCGAGAAGTTAAGTTTCCGTCAGGCATGTCCGCATACCGGCGGCGGATAAGCAGTCAGCAAAGTCTCCTCAGCAGCCTTGAGGGGATAGTGGCTGACAATGAGGCCAGGGCCAAAGTGAAGACTGATGCAGCAGCACAGGGTGCGGTAGCTGCGCGGAGTTTCAGAGGCCTCCGCCATTGACTGGGAGCTACGCTCGGAGGAGAAGGCCTGGCTCTTAGAGTAGGTTGGCACGTCATGCTGTATGCGCAACTTGGCAGGGATCCTTGACATCTAGGTTGTTCATCAAAGCATATGTGGTTCGTACTAGCCTTTTTTGAGGGTTGTTTTACTTCGCCAAATGTGCTATCCCGTCTCGCCCCCCCCCCCCCACCCCCCCGAAATGCTTGCTTGCACGCGGCGCATCTTGTCCCCTGCGTTTTCACGGATTTGACGCTTGAGGTAAATGCAGTGCCAGCTGTGTGAAACTGATACCTGACCCTGAACTACTAACAAGCAGCTTCCGAAGCTTCATTCACTCCCTCAGGTCAATGTACCTGCTCTCCAAAGAGAGAACTTTCTTCCAAAGAGAAGGGGCATGATTCCAGGAAGGGCAATTAGTGAGCTGTTGCTTCTTCTTGGGTTTACATTATGAAGAGACATCCCGATTTTCGTAACAGAAGTAGAAGAAGATACTTATCCATGGGCCAGAAGAGGTAAGCTTTATTTCGCTCGTATCTTCATTGCACAGAAGAAGTGCCCTACTGTATTCTCAACACAAAGGTTTTGTTTTGTCGCACACTTGTGTGCGCATGAACATGAAGCAATCGGGCGCGCACCGCAGCCTGATTGCTCGAACCGCCTTTTTGTGTGCCCCTTGTTGTTAACCGCCTTTAGCCTGAGCTATGGCGGCTTCTGACAACACTTCATCGGCGGCAGCTGCTCTTCGCCGCCTGGCGTCTTTGGACGAGGCGACCCTCCAGGGCGCTTTGTCCTGTATGGGCCGGGAGCCCTTCAGGCGCCTTCGTCGGGCGGTGGGGCATACCGAAACGCTTTTGCCCTCAGATGATGAGGGCGGCAGCGGACCGGCGGGGGCACAGGGTTCGAGCTCTCCTTTCCGC